TGGTGGTGATGAACTCCTTTAGCTTTTTCTTGTCTGGGAAGGTCTGTATCTGTCCTTTGATTCTAAATGATAGCTTTGCTGGGTAGAGTAGTCTTGGTTGTAGGTCCTTGCATTTCATCACTTTGCGTATTTCATGCCAATCCCTTCAGGCCTGCAAAGTTTCTGTTGAGAAATCAGCTGACAGTCTTATGAGCACTCCCTTGTAGTTAACTAACTGCTTTTCTTTTGCTGCTTTTAAGAAACTTTGTCTTTAACCTTTGGCATTTTAATTCCAGGATTTCACCCTTCTGTATATACAGAAGCCACCTCATGGATGAATTTTTTCATCCATCTATCCATCTACTCATTTATTCAAAAGGGGTGGTTCAAGCACATCAGAAGTACAAAGCCAGTATTGAGTTCTGGGGGTACAGACATAAATCAGATACTGCCCATTCCTTAGAGTGGCCCATGACCAAGTTGGAAGACAAGACTCAAATAATTAGATGTGGAAGAGTCCATCTAATAATAGAAGAAGTGACTGATTAGCTGGGAATACAGCTGGGCTGGTGGGCTGGTGAGTGGGAAAGGTTTCACAAAAGAGAAGGTGCTTGAACTGGGTTTTGAAAGATATGTAGGAGTTTACCAGGTAGATGCAGGTGGAAGAGAATTTCAGGTAGAGGGAGCAGCATGTATAAAGTCAGTCTCAGAAGTTTGAAACACCTGAAGTTGGCTGTAGCATTGCATTGAGTTCCTTCTCATTGGAATATTAATATACGGGCCAGAAATGGGGCTGCAGAGGCATGTGGGGTGAAGCCATTAAGGATCTCATATTAAAGACTTTGGAACTTATCCTGAGGACGATGGCAAGGGGAGTAACTGGTTCCTAGTCGCATTTTAGAAAGATCTCTATGATTACAGTGGAGAATGGATTGGAGGGGACAAAACCGAAGCCACAGAAACCAGTGAGGAGATTCATGGGAAAGTATTTCTCCAGGTAAATTCACTATTTGCAAGAATCATGGCTGCCCATTAGAATGACCCAGGGAGCTTTAAACTCTACTGACACCTGTGTTCCATCCCCAGAGAGCCTGATTTAATTGGTCTGGGGTAGGGCCATGGCTTTGGGAGCTTTAAAGCTTCCTCAGGTGATTCTAATGTGCAGCCATCACAAGCGAACTGCAACCTGAATCCTGGCACATAGTAGGTACTCAACAGACTTAAAATTAAAAAATAGTATGAAAACATTCAGAGTGTCCTGTTCTTAGCTTCACACCATTTTGAGGTGGATATAATTGGATGGCCAGCTGGCTTTTATCACAGAGGGTGTCAGGTAGAAATCTACCCCTAGATGATCAGCTTAAACACTGAGGCGTCCAGTGCCACCCCTGAGACAAGCACAGCCCACCCTTGCAGAGAGCTAAGAACACAGAGACCTGGTAAGTTGCCTGAAGCCGCCGGACCTACCTGGCTCGGGTGGGAGGATGAAACCCGGGGCTGGCATCAGAGTGCTAAGAGTTACATACAGAAGAAGAACCATTTGCAGTCTAGAGGTGGCCTGTGCTGACGGCAAGAGGGAAGCAGAGTGATGGTCATTTATGGGGAGCAAGAGGAGGAGGAAGAGGAGGGGGAAAGGAGGAAGAGAAAAAGGAGAGACAAGCCCTCTATTTGTAGAATGAGCACTTCCCTGGGCCTCCCAGAGCCTGTATTCCACACATGAGCTAGACTGTGCTCTGCGAAACATAAATCAGATCAGATGACTCCCCTGCTCAAAACCTTCTCATGGTTTCCCATCGCACTTAGAATAACACCCAACGGGTTACCAGTGACCGCAACACCTCATCCAATCTGAAACCTCCTGGCTTCTCTAGATGCTCCTAAAACTACTCTCTCCTGCCTCAGCCTTGCAATGTGCTCATTTTATCACCACCTTTGCATTTCCTCTTTCCTCTGCCTGGAAAGTGCTTGCTACATTTCTTGGTATAAGGGGCTGTTTCACATCGTTAAGGAATTAGCTTAAATGATACCTTCTCAGAGAAGCCCTCCCAGCCTGTGTAATCTGAAATTATTCTCATCCTCTATCACTGTCCCTTTACCCTGCTTTATTTTTCTTCATAGCATTTTCCACTCTCTAAAATTATTGTATATGCTTTCTTGTTCACTTGCTATATCTCCCAGTTGACTTAGACGTTCAAGGTGGACTTTATTTCTCTGTTTCCCAAGTCCTTAGAAAAGTGCCAGACACATATTAGGGAGTCAATAAATATCTGCTGAGTGAACAAATGAATGAATGAATCAATGACTCCCCTATTGGACCGGATTTGGGCTCATGATACACAGAAGACATCGATAACATTGGAGCCAATGAAGGAGTAGATAGGGCCACGGAGTGGCCGGGTCTGTGTTCTCCCCAGGCAAGAACACTTAGCCCTTCGTGCTAAGTGACTCATCACAGTGCACGTCATTTCCTCCACTGGCTCATCTTCACCTGGATAGAGCACCTGCCTCACGCCATTCTTACCACTCTGTCCTTTCTTTCTAGGCCTTACCGGAGGGGCAGACAGCTTCATGGGACACAGCCAAAGAGGACGAAAACCGCAACAAGAACCGATACGGAAACATCATATCCTGTAGGTGCCCTTCTGCAAGTACGCCAGGCTTTGGGGAAAAGAGGAAACAAAGCTTTTACTCTTCTTTACCTAGACTTGGTTATCAAACCATCCTTGATGCTTCCCACTTTGGGTCGACGTGCCAAGCTAGGAGCATTTTCCCTACGATGCCTGGCCTGGATGACAACGCACGGCTGATCTCAGGCACAGGGGGCAGGTGGGAGCTGGCTCCAAGCAGACTAGAGCTGGGAAGCCTCTGACAGCTGTGTGTGTCTTGCCTGGCATTGCCTGCCCAAGAATTCGGGAGGGAAGCCCAACCAAAAAGGAACTCTTCCATGTTCCCAGCAGTCCCTCTAATGCAGTGTACCACCTTGGCAGTGACTTGGGGTGGGGGGCAAGGTCCAGCCCTTGAGGGAGAGGTTGAGAACACCCTAGGCAAGAACATGATGCAATTCTAAGAAGGCAGAGTCCCGAGCAGGGCTGATGCTCAGAGGCACCCAGAAGCTCTGGCCTAAGCCTGAAGGCTTAGGAATCGGCCAGCTCAGAGGAGCCCAAGGCTGCTCTGGTCACACCAGAGGCAGGGTTTAGGGCATCATGACTTCTGCCAGACCCCACTGCTAGTGCGGCAGAGGCTGTAAGGCGAGAGTCTGCCACTCAGGGCGTGCATTGGCATGGGCGTTTGGTGGCACTGAACCTGTAGGAGGAAAGTGTGTTTTATGCAGAGCTAGGGGCCACATGGAAAGATGGTGCCTTTGGCTCAGCTATGGGCATGAGCATCCCTGAAAGCAGCCCTGATGTGTGATTTAATGAGGGCAGTGGTACAGAGTGGTTGGGGCCCTCTGGAGTCAAACTACCTGGGCTTCTATCCCAGCTGTGGGGCCCTGGGCACGTTACCCAAACTCTCTAAGCTTCCCTTTCCTCACCTTTAAAATGATGGAAATAGTAAAGATAGAATCGTTGCAAAAAGGTACATAAACCCTTGGCACAATGCCTGGCACCATTACTAGTCTTAGCCGTAGAGTTAACTTTCTCAGAGTCACTGATAAGCAGTGTGGATATATCATTCCGCCATGTTTTAACCAGAATTCACTGCATACCCATGTGGGGTCATAGAATAAGCCAGGTTGGGGAGGGAAGCATGATCAGATGTCCATTTTGGAGAGATCTCAAGGATAGCTGACTGGGAGGGTGGGTTAGATTGGGAGAGGCTAGAGGCAGAGGGACCAGTCAGGAGGCTACTACAGAGGTCCCAGCAAGAGTTCATGAGGCCTGAACAAAGTCAGTGACAATGACGGGCACACGACATTGAGTTCTGAGGGGACAGGGAGCGAGAGAGACTGCCATATAACTAAATACCATACACAGGCCACACACGAGTACTGTCACCACCAAATATTCGTGAGTACAGCTTTCAAAGCAACATGATACAGACGGGACAAAGTTACCTCATGCAAAATGCTGAGTACATATGAGGTATGACAATTAAGTTCACGAACTTGTTGCAATGATGTTGCTGACCTTTTAGATATCAGAGGGATTATTCATTATGAACTTGTACCAACTGGATGAACAGTTCACCAGGTTTACTATTTGGAAGTGCTGCAAAGGCTGCATGAAAAAGTAGACAACCTGAACTTTTGCCAACAATTCATGGCTCTTGCATCACGACAATGCACCAGCTCACATGGCACTGTCTGTGAGGGACTTTTTAGCCAGTAAACAAATAACTGTATTGGAACTCCCTCCCTATTCACCTTCTTTACTGGAAGAGAAAGGAAATATTGAAAGGAAGACATTTTGTGACATTCAGGACATCAAGGGTAATACCATGACAGCTCTGATGGCCATTCCAGAAAAAGAGTTCCAGAATTGCTTTGAAGGGTGGACTAGGCATTGGCATCGGTACATAGCTTCCCAAGGGGAGTACTTCACAGGTGACTGTAGTGGTATTCAGCAGTGAGGTACGTAGCACTTTTCCTAGGGTGAATTTGCGAGCTTAATTATCTGACCTTGTAAACTCATTAAATAGGAGTCTACAACACGCTTTGTCTGCTGCTGTGTAGCCAACCTGCACCTTTGGACAGTTCAGCAATTGGGTGAATAGCATTCCTTGGTCTCAGCTCTCAGGGTAACCCAGTTCAGCCAAAAAACAAAAACAAAAAAGATCGTGAATAACAAATTATTTCTAGCACTGCTCCGTGTTTTGTTTAACTGTCTAGACATTGCCTAAGGAAAAGCTCAAAGGAAGAAAGCCTAAGATACACAGGCAGTTTGTAAAGAAAGAAAGAGACGTTTCAGCTTAGCCATTTCCTGTGCTGATTCAGGAATGAGCTATGAATGGTAGACTAATCAGAAAACATTTATGATTTGTCTCTTGGAAGAGAGTAATGCAGACAGCAAGATTTCTTGCAAGAGAAGTGTTGGAAAGAGATGTTCAGACAATCAGGAAGTGTGTATTAAGATCGATGGTGTGTGGGCCTTCTCTAAACCAGGCCCTGTGCGGGGCACTGGGACACTAGGTCTCATTCGCAGGTAGCTCCCATTCTGGGCTCAGGTAGCTGCTTGCTCTGACCATCCTCTGCTCGAGGGTCTTTCCCTAAAATATCCAGTCACGTTGCTGTTGCCCCTATCAGATTGTAAATTCAGATAGGTCACAAAATTATAGGCTATGAGACCTTGCGTCATCACTCTAAGCCTCAGTCTTCAGTCTGTAAAATGGGCCTGATGATATCTTCCTCCTAGAGCTGTTGTACAGATAAGAAAAAAGAAATGACTAGCGCCCAGTGAAGAGATCCTGCCTCTCTGAGAGACAGGGATATCCAGGCAGGGCCAGGTATCCAGACCAAAGCCTGTGGGGGCTGAGCGTGAGAAGCCAAACCACACTATACGTCTCTCCAGACCCCACTGCTCACTCCTGCTCGCAGCACCTTTGCCCAAGCTATCAATCATCGGCTCTCACCTGGTCTCTGCCCAGCCTCCTTTCTGGTGTCTCCCCAGCTATCTTGGCCCCCCCACTTTCTACCTAGCTGATCGCTGACAGAAGCCGGAGGGACCGTCTCAAAACATGAATTGGATCAGGTCCTCTTCCTAGTAGGCCCTTCGAATGGCTTCCCTTCCCTCTTGAACGCTCCTTATCCAAAGTCTCTCAGCTGCCTCTCCAGGCTCGTTCCCCCTGTGTCCTGTCCATAATGCTCTCCTCAATTAAACCCCGCTGGCCTTTTTTCAGTCCCTTGAGCTTTCCATGCTTATCCATGCCACAGGGCCTTTGCACATTCTGATCTTTCAAAATGCCTTTCTCTCCTCTCTCTGCTCTACTAATTCTATGTTTTCTTTAGGTCCTTAGCTCAGCCGTCACGTCCTCAGGGAATTCTTCTGACCTTTTGAATTTGGTCATGACCCCATTATTTACTCCTAGAGCACAATGTGTCTTCTCCTTAGCCCTCGTCATCATCATGATTTGAGAGGCATTTGCACGACTCTCTGTTGACTGCCTACCTCCCTTACCTGCTCTGTGACAGCAGGACCCTGACTGTCTTGTCCTTCTATGTCCCCGAACCTGGCATATGGTTGGTGCTTAGTAAATAGGAACTGAATGTTGGAAAGCACGAACTCGCTGCAAATCCCCAAAGAGCTTGAGCCGTCGGTCTCTCCCTTCTGGCTTCGCAAACAAAACAGAGGAACACCCCAACGGAATGGATGGAGGAAGGCTGGACCAAGATGACACTTGGAACAATATCCAAGTAATGTCTTCCCATAAGGCCGAGGATCCTGAAGAGAGCAGAGAGATGGGACACAGGAGGGAGAGAGGAAGAGAACAATCCCATCCCCTCAGAGAGCTGCCGCTGAGAAGGCAGGATTCCAGGCCACAACAAGGAAAAGCGATGAGGGTATTGGAACTCCATCACTGGGGCTGTAGAAGATGCTGTCAGCATCCCACTCACACACTGTGGCCTCACTGTGTGGTACCACCAGCTGGGGGTACCAGCCTCAAAGGCCAGGACTAGGAGAAGGTGGGCGAGGCACCCAGCTGGGGGTACCAGCCTCCAGGGCCAGGACTAGGAGAGGGTGGGCAAGGCACCCAGCATGCAACATTGAAAGAGGTGCCCCCCTCTCAGCTGTTGACCCTGTCCCTGCACAACCCTGAGATCGAGTGCCTTCTTAAAGTGGGTGCCCAGGGTGCCTCGCTTGGTTCACCCTCATCCTGCCCTACCTGCGTCTCTTTGCCTGAGGACTTTCTCCAAAGCTGGGCCAGGGTGCTCTGCCCATGAGCAAGAGATCCACCCCCTCCCACTATGGGGGGCGTGTTCTATGACCTTTTACAGAGTTCCCACGGGGAGGAGGCTGCAGTTGCCCACAGTACCAATGGATGTGAAGACTCACCCTTCCTGGGCTGCCTTCTCTTGGCTGTCTCCCTCGCCCCCTTTCCCACGGATGCCCCCTTCTCCTCCTATTACAAACTCCTTGTAATAGGAGGCAGAGGGAATTCTAACACCTGATGACACCACCCTGATGGGCTTCAATCAACCCAAATCTCCTTTCTAACTTAAGGGTCAATAATTCTGCAACAAATCAGGGCTGAAGCAGGTCTGTGCTCAGTACTGAGTCAGTGCCAAGGTAACCAGTGGACTCAAAAGCAGTGCAAGACATACAGGGGAAACCAAGACAGAGGGGAAAAAAAGTCCTGGAATTGAAATGAGAAAGGCAAAAGAGAAACAGCCCCGAGGACTGGAAAGTGTGCCTGCCATTCTATGTATCCCTTCCCAGGGCGACGTCTGCCCTGGCTTGATAAATAGAAATATTCTCGGCACAAGAAGAAAACCAGCTGTGATTAGCATCTTAAGGAACCCAGAGCACTGAGGGGCTGCAGTGGAGGACAAAGGCCCAGGCCAGGGAGAACAGAAGAGATGAAAGGGGGGGAGGAGGAGGGAGAGCACTGCCTGCCAACGAAACAATGAAAGAGAAACCTTGGCCAAAGAAGCCCTTTCTTCCAGATGTTTAGAATTTATTAATAGAGACAGTGG